AAAAGAGAAATAATAAATGGAGTTCTCTAGGCAGAAGAAAAATTATCCCAGATGGAAAGATGAAAATACAGGAAGAAATAAAGAGCAAAAGAAAGGTTAAACATGTGGGTAACTCTAAATGAATAATGACTGTACAAAATAGTGATATTACCTTGTGAGATTTAAAATAACATAAAATTAAAATGCATGAAAACACAAAAGATGGGGGGGCAGTAAATAGAGTTAAAGTGTTCCAACATCAGGCATTGCCTATAAAATGGTAAAAGTAGCAGTTCATATTAGATTCTAATATTAGAGTCAAGAATCCATATCATGATCTTTAGAATAACTTATAAAGGAACAATGAAAGATGTATAATTAACAAGGTAATAGGGAATGGAAAAGAAAGGATTAACCCAAAAGAAGGCTAAAATAAAGAGACAGATGAACAGACACAGATAGATAGGCAAAAAGGACCAAAAAAACAGATGGGACAAATAGAAAACAAGAAATAAGATTATAGTTATGAACCCAAATATATCAGTAAGATTACATTAAACATAAACAACCTAAATTTTCTAATAGATAATTTTCAAACTGAATTAAAAGTACATGTTCAGTTTAATAAATAATTACAAAGCTAGTACCACATAGCCACCAATCAGGTAAACATATTTTAAACTATCAGCACTTCAGAAACTCATATGCTTCTATACTATATTATAAATCTCCTCCATAAATAACATTTGTGGTACTAACTTCCTTGTTATACTCTTTAGATCTACCATCTAGCTTTGAATTCCTAAATAATATACTTTTTCTTCTGGCTATTTTTGATCTTCATTTGAATGGAATCATACTCTTATGTCTGCTTTTTTTTTTTTATTTTTGGTGAGGAAGATTAGCCCTGAGCTAACATCTGTTGCCAATCTTCCTCTTTTTTTTTGCTGAGGAAGATTGGCCCTGGGCTAACATCCATGCCCATCTTCCTCTACTTTATATGTGGGATGCCTGCCACAGTGTGGCTTGATAAGCAGTGCATAGGTCCACGCCCAGGATCCAAACCTGTGAACCCTGGGCCACTGAAGCAGAGCACACAAACTCAACCACTATGCCACTGGGTCAGCTCGTGTCTGCTTTTCAATGATGTTTTTGTGGAAGTAACTCATACTGTTGCCTGTGACTGCAGTTCCTTCATTTTCATTAATGTACAGAATTCCATTGTATGGATTTACTGCAATTTATTTTTCTTTTCAACAGCAGATGGACATTTTTTTCCTTCCAGTTGTTGGCTATCATGGAAAATGCTGGTAATAAACATTCCTATACATATATCCTATTGCACATGTGTACATGTCTCTAGCTAGGGTATATATCAAGGGATGGGACTGCTAGGTCAAAGAATATTCAGATCTTCAATATTTCTAGATAATGCCAAATTTTTTCTGAAGTACTATACCAATTTACTCACCCAACAACAAAATATTAAATAAAACCAATTCTCTTTATTTCAAAACCTCACCAATACCTGGTATTGTCAGATTTTAAAATGTTTTACTTTTCCTTACCTGATAAGAAATGGTATCTCATTGGGGTTTTAATTTGCATTTCCCTGATTACTAATGAGAATGAGCACCTTTTCATATGTTTACTGGCCATTTGGAATTCCTCTTTTGTGAAGCAGAAGTACAAGTCTTTTGCCCATTTTTCTTTTATATTATCTGGCTTTTACTCATTGATTTGTTGAAGTTCTTTTTATATATATTCTGGGTACTAGTCCTCTACAGGTTATATATGCTGCGAGTATCTTCTCCCACTCGATGGCCTGTCTTCTCACTATCTTTATAGTGCCTTTTAAGAAAAGAAGTTTCTAAGTTTAATGTGGTACAATTGATCAATTTTTTCTTTTATGGCAAGGGTATTTGTGTCTTAAGAAATCTTTCCTTATCCGAAGTTCATGAAAACATTCTATATTACCTTCTAAAAGCTTGATAATTTTCCTTTAGATACTTAGTTCCTTAATCCACATGAGATTGATTTTTATATATAGCCTTTCATAGGCATACAATTTCTTTCATATTTCTCCCAACATGAATAGCAAATTAAGAATACCATTTACTAAAAGTCAATCATTTCCCAAATGATCTGCCATACAATCTCCATCACATATCACATATACACATATGCAGAGGTTTCTGGACTCTCTTACACTGCTCTATTTGTATAGCACTTGCCAATATGACATTATCCTAATTACTGCTGTAACGTCCTGACATCTGATGACAAATTTCTTCCATTTTGTTTCTCTACTTAAAGGATATCTTGGCCTCTTAACTCATTGCATTTAACTTCAGCTTGTCAAGTTCCATAAAATTACACACTGGGAAACTGAAATTGTACTATATAATCTGAATACAAGTGAAAACATTTTATGATACTGCATTGTCTAAACCATAAACATAGTATATTTCTCCATTGAATTCTTCTTTAATATTTTTCAAAGTTTTATAATTTTCTTCAGAGTTATTACATGTCTTGTTAATTGTATTCCTAGGTACTTGATATGTTTGGTGCTATTGCAACGGTATTATATCTTTTTAAAATTTTCAGTTCCTAATTGTTTATATCTGGCATATAGGAATACAATTGATTTCTTATATATTTGAGTCTGGCAATCTTGCTAAACTCTTGTTAATCCTAATAATTTATCTGTAAGTTCCTTTGGATTTCCTACATATACACCCCAAGCATCCAAGAACAGTAATATTATTTATGGTTCCTTTTTTTGGATCCTTTATATTTTTACTTTTCTTTCATTTTCTTGAATTTTTGCATTAGCCAACATATCCAGTATAATGTTAAAGTGGTGACAGCAGGTATCATTCTATTTTGTATCTCAAAGGGAATACTTCCAATATTTCACTGTCAAATTTGTTTTAGGGTTTCTGTAGATACTCTATCAAATTAAGGAAGTTACCTCCTATTCCAAGTTTGCCACAAATTTGTTTTTAATTATAAACAGATATTTTATAAATCCTACATCTATTGTGAGCTGATAATGATTCTTCTCCTGGAAAATTACATTAATTGATTTATTAGTATTGAACCAACCTTGCAGCATTCCTTGGACAAACTCAACTATTATAGATTGTTGAACTTGGTTTACTAGCATCTTGTTTAGGATAGCTGCATCTATTTCATGAGTAAAAGTGGACTGTAATTTTCCATTTCTGTAAAATTTTTAAATTGATTTTAGTATCAGAATTATACTAGATTTAGCATTTACTCTCATAAAATGAAGACTAAAGAATATTCCCTCTTTTTTAATTCTTTGGAAGAATTTCTTTAAAATTGGTGTTGTTTCATCCTTAAATGTTTTATAAAACTCACCATTGAACCCTCCCATCAGGGTCACATTACACATTTTTTACACCTATTCTCACACTTACCATGGGCTGAGAGTACTGCTTGAAACAGTTTCATAAATTGCAGGTTCTTCCTTCATTATAGAGCATAAGGTGGATTGTACATATCATAGATACAAGCCACTGACAAATTTGACATATTAGTCTATAAAATGTTATTTTAATGGTATCTTCACTTTTTCACTTCCATCACCAGCATTTTATTTTTTTTTTGTCACTTTATGAATTTCAGAACACGCATGAACAAGTGTTAACACCAAAGACTCAGTGAAATTTGACTCTTGCCCTTCACCAACTAAATAAATGCCTTCTTCATAGCAGCTTCCTGGCTCAAAACTAAAATGTGGGCTTCAATATCCTGGAATATTAGGGAATTTTTCTGAAGAATCAAAACTGCATGTAAATTCCCAAATACCAAGAATTTACTGTAAATGGTGTAGATGTGATTGTTTCTCCTTTGTTTTATAGCATCCTTGAGTATGCAAAGTTATTTCGGGGCAACAGTGTTGTTCTTCAAACAACGGCCATCCTTCAATTCACTTATTTTTGGTTGTGTATTTTCCTCTTTTTAAAAGCTCAGGTATAATTTAACATGTAAAAGTAGAACTAGACAACATTTTAAGGAGTGCATGTTAAGAATAAATAAATAATATTATAAAGCTCCAAAACTGTTGAGAATCACTAGTGATGAGAAAAGAATTCATTTCAGTGTCCCCCTCCACCTTGAACATCAATCCAGGCCAGGAATCACTAATCGTGTTTCTTTGTTAAACTAAACTACTTCTTCCCTACCAGACCCAAATCTTTTAGCCTAGATCGGAGATGAGGTGTCTCAGCTGCTTTGTGCCTCAATGGGACAAATAAGTTAACCTATTCACTCTAATCTGAAGTTATCATATTACATGCAACATGCAGGGAACTAATTTAAGGCACTTTCTTCCTAATCTTACTTACTTTCATAGTCTTCCTCTTCTGTGTAATTTTTTAAACCACTGTTTCACAGGGCCTTGATTTTGCCATGTGTAGAGCTGGAAAACTACTGGAGTGATCAGCTTGACTGGAGTTGATCACTCCAGTCACCATACCAAAGGCAGAAAGCATCACAATGAAAAACCTGATCACCTAACCAATTCAAAATTTTATTTAGTACTGTTAAAACAACAATGATAAAAGCTTTGAGAACCAACCCCATTCCTTCATAACAGACATAAATAGTGTTCATATGAATGTGAAGCTTTAATTTTTTTTGTTTTGAGGAAGATTGGCCCTGAGCTAACATCTGTTGCCAATCTTCCTCCTTTTTTTTTTTCCTTTTTTCTCCCCAAAGCCCCAGTAGAAAGTTGTATGTCATAGTTGTACATCCTTCTAGTTGCTCTATGTGGGACACCGCCTAAGCATGGCTTGATGAGCAGTGCGTAGGTCTGCACCCAGGATCCGAATCGGCAAACCCCGGGCTGCCGAAGTGCAATGTGTGAACTTAACCGCTACACCACCAGCCCAACCCTAAACTATTTTATGCTTAATTGAGAAAAGGGTATATGTTTACAAGCATAAATTCAGTTAAATAAATTTATGCATTTTTATAGAAATGCCTACCTTTCAGAAACCGCCTCATCATGTTCCCGTGATAAATTAATCTTTTCACTTGCTTTTTCTGAAGGATTAGAAGGTTCAGAGTTCACTGAAGTTTTTCTTTCATCTGGACTATTAACTGACACTGGATTCTTATCCAAATTCATGGTCTCTGAATTTGCAACCTGTTAATTAGGTGAGGAAAAAGTAGTTGAGGAGAGGGTTACCAATTGTGTTCTTCCACACAAAATTGATAGGTAAAATTTCACTTGAAAATGTTCTCAAAATATTCTCGCATATATGTGGCAAAACATATATTAAATTGTATGTATTTCAATGGCTGAAGCCTATGATTGTAGTTACTCTGCCAAAATGAATTAAAAAAATACTTCAAAGAAATAAAAATAATGATAGTACAAATCAACTTCTTAGCTTAGATGAAAGGAAGGAAAAACAAATATCTAAGTACTTACACAACATTCTATTTCTATTAGACTAAGTTTTAGGAACTATTAAACATCAGGCCTTAATGAGGAGACTTCCTACTTTTGTTATACTTCTAATGATGAGTGAAGACCAGAAATAAATCAAATTTCCAACTTGCTCTTTCACTTAATGAGTTTTGTTTAAAACTTGGAGCTGAAACATTTAGTCCATGCTTCAGTTGAGAACTTGCAGTATTGAAAATACATGTGTATATTAATCAATACAAAAGGATCAACTGATTGCCTAACCCATGGGCTTTTCTGATGGGTAGTGTCTTGACATGAGTACAGCCATGTCTGGCTGGTCCATGAACCTACAGCCACCAGCAGACAAAGAAATATAAAGCAGATTTCTGTGTGGTGGGAACTGGCCCTTCTCCCACAGAGATAGTTGCAATTTGTAAGATTACGAGACTCTTTGGGCGTCAAGCCTGGGACGGACTGGCCATCAGTGCCAGGCTGGGATGATAACCAAGGAGCTCAATGCATGTACAACCAAGGAGCTCAATGCATGTACACAACTGATAACCACTGGTACATGAAAACACCAAATGCTTACTCTGGAGATCACTCATACTATATAAGCTGCTGGAAACTGAGGCCTAGTGAGAGTCTTGCCTGTGGGGGGGACGCCTTGCCCAGGACTTCTTTCCATCGGCACTCCCACCTAGCCGTGTCAGTTAAAGGGACTCTCCCCAGTGTAAGAGCATGGATGTTGTAAGTACCCGATCTGATGTTTTTCTTTTTCGATCAATCTGATATTGTTTCCTCTTTTTTTTGACTTATTTGGATGTTATAAGTACCCAGTCTGATGTTTCTTTGTATATAGTTATTTCCTGTATTCTCCATATCTATTTGTTAACTTTCGCCTTTACCCTTCCCTATATAATAAAGTGTGCAAACAGTCCATTCGTTTGGGTTGGAAAGTTCCTTTTACGTCTCCGATCGAATCCATCGAACCTCTTACAACAGATAGCATGAACAAAAATGCAGGTACACAAAGGCAGAATTCTGAAATGTTATTATGTTAAGGGTACAGATTTTATATGTAGAAATAGGTTTAAACAACATTGGAAAACAATAGCAAAATATATTTGGTGTCCTTTCAGTTCCAGGATAAGGTGGCATAGACTCACTTTTCCCTTCTCCCTTGTAAGCACAACAAAATATCCTGGAAATAATTCAACAGATAATCATAAAACGCCTCTGAAAGGTGAAAAGAAGAGGGCAGACCTGGGGACCTCAAGATTAAGGAGCAACACCACAGTGAGTTCCCTGAGATTTTTTTTATTATCCATATATCCTGCACGCGGCACCAGGAAGGCCAGGGACCCATCTTTCTTCCTAAGCCTAGAGCAGGTGTGACTAATTCCCCACTCCACATCTGCAGAATCAGCAGCCAGATTCCCCGCAGGAGAAGTGTCAGATGGGTCCCCACCTGACACCTGAGGCAGCAGTGCTCCTAACCGGCTGCAGCAGCAGTGTTAGCACAGCCCCGTCAGGAACCAAACCCCAGGACTCCACACCTGGAACAGCAGTGGGCCAAATCCAGTGCAGTGTCAGTGGGGCTACCATCCCACAGTTGGGATGGCAGTGGGTGTGGACGACCGAAGAATCAGCAATGTCTGTGCTCCACACCTGGGGCAGTGGCAGGCCCAATCCACTGCAGTGGCAGCAACCCTAGGCCAACATTTCCTGAACTTCCCACTCATATCACTAGGGAGCCCAGGCAGCACCTGCAGGGACTGAACAGGAGATCCAGCGAAGCCAGAAGAATGAAGCCAACCAGAACAACACTGCGAGGGCTTTGAAAAGTAAACTGTCATTGGAACTACAGCTTGCAAAAGGAGTCCAAGACCTACACACTAAATCTAAACAGGGTAACTGCCTGCTGAAAAAGTATCAACTGCAGAATCTCTTCAAAGAGCCCTCTGTGTGAATGAATACTGTGATCTTTTGACCCTTCCAAGGCACAAGTAAAAGGTTGCCCAGACACACCATTGGCTTTCTCTCCAGAGCATGCTTTTCTGACAACGAACCTCCTAATTTTAAGATCATCTGCAATCTGGATAGGTTCAGAATTTCCACAAATCAAGTCGTGGTTCCTTTTTGCTAAACAGTTCCTCCTTCAATTTCTCTCTTCCCTCTCACAGCAAGAAACCAAGCCAAACCTTCAACACTTTGTTCAAAAATCTCGTCAGCCTATAAAAATCCCAGTCATCACAAGTTCTGCTTTCTGTATCACTGTAGGATACAATTCAGCTAAGCTTCCTGCCACTAGGTAACAAGAATGCCCTTTCCTCCAATTTCTACTAACATATTCCTCATTTCCTTTTGAGTCCTCACCAACAGTGCTTTTAAATGCCCACATTTCTATCAACGGTCTGTTTATGAAGATTTGGATATTCTCTTGGACTATATAGGTTTTCTCTAAGGTTTTCCTCATTCCCTTCTGAGCCCTCACTTGCAGTCTTTAACATCTATATTTCTAAAAGTCTGTTCCACTCAACCCAGGCTTTTAAAAATCTTGCTCCTCAATATTCTTCCAGCCTCTACCCATTACCCCATTCCAAATCCACTTCCACATTTTTTAGGTATTTGTTACAGCAGCACCTCACACTTCCTGGTACCACATTCTGTATTAGTTTCCTAAGGCTGCTATTACAAATTGTCACAAACTGGGTACTTTAAAACAACAGAAATTTATTCTATCACAGTCCTGGATGCCAGGGGTTTGAAATCAGTTTCACTAAGCCAAGATCAAGTTGTTGGCAGGGCTGCATCCCTTCTGGAGGCTTCAGGGGAGAATCTTGTTCCTTTTTTTCCAGCTTCTAGAAGCTACTAGCATTTCTTGGCTTATAGCCCCTTCCTCCACCTTCACTGCAATCATTCCAACCTCTGCTTCCATTGTCCCCTCTCCTTCTGCCTTTGACCTTCTTGACTCCTTTTTATAAGGACCCTTGTGATTACATTGAGCCCACCAGGATAATCTCCCCATCTACAAGCTTCTTTTTACCATGTAAAGTAACATATTTACAGGTTCTGGGGATTAGGTCACAGACATCTTTTGGAGGTCATTATTTACAACTGTCAATCATGTTGGCACAAGTAACATTTACAGAACATTACACCCAACATTCTTTCCAAGTGGACATGGAATCTTTGCCAAGGAAAAGCATATCTTGTATATGCTTGTATAAAATAAGTGTCAACAACTCTCAAGATTGAAATTTTACACAGTATGTTCTCCGACTAAAATAAAATTAAATTCAATATCAATAAAAATAAGATACTTAAAAAGTTCTAAATGCTTGGAAATTAAACACTCACATCTAAATAACCCATGGGTCAAAATAACAATACTGCAAAGGAAATTAGAAATTATTTTGAACTGATGGAAAACAAAAATGCAATATATCAAAGATTTTTATAAAATAATCTTTAAAAGAAGTGCATAACCTAAGCACAGAGAAGGTGCTTAGAAAAAGCAGTGCTTGGAAGGAAATTTATAGCTTTAAATGTTTTCTAGTAGAAAAGGTTAAAAATTAATGCTCCTTCTCTTAAGAAGCTGGGAAAAAAAGAACAAATTATATCCAAAGTAAGTAAAAGAAAGGAAATAATAAAAAACAGAAATCAATATAAAAGAGACAAGTAATACAAAACTAACAATATTTTAAAAACCCTAGCAAGACTGATCAAGAAAAAAAGAAAACATAGATTACCAGAAATCTGTATCAGAAATGAAATAGAGTATATCACTACAGAACTACAAATATTAAAAGGACAAGGGAATTTTATCAATAACTTTATGCCAACAAATTCAACTTAGATAAAATGAACAAATTCCTTGCAAAGATAACTTACAAAACTGATACAAGATGAAATAGAAAAATCTTAATTGCCCTATACCTATTAAAGAATTTAATTTTCAAGAAAAAGTCTTCCTACAAAGAAAGCTCCTTGCCCAGATAGTTTTCAGAGGTGGATTCTATCAAATTTTTAAGGAAGTAATAAAAATTGTACACAAACTTTCAGAAAATGGGAGGGAATCCTTCCCAATTCATTTATTGAGGCTAGCATAAATAGGATACCAAAGTGAATAAAGACACTACAAGAAAAAAATTCAGTGAACGTATACTGAAGATTATACTTAAATTTTATATAAAAAATATAAACAGATACTTAATGATACCCATGCTGAAATATTTTGGAAGTGTGCATTGCAAAGTGTATTTTGATACACAATATATTAGTACTTATGAATGTATCAAATATAAAGATGGCTTAGGAGATAAGTAGATTGACAGATATATGACAAAAATAAATATATTACAATAGTAAAGGCAGAATTTAGGTGCTGAGTATACAAGTGTTCACTGTAAAATTCTTTCCACTTTGCTGCATGTTTGAAACTTTTCATCATGACACAATGGTGGGGAGGTAATCACAAGTCACCTCTCTATACTTACTTTATGAAAGAAATGCAAGTGGCATTTACTTTTGGCTACCTAAGGGTGTCTTCTCCAGAGACACAGTCACAGGAACATTCTAAACATAAATTTACTGTCTTTTAAGCCTTCTGTCTTAGTTTGGAAATATATTCATTTCTTACAATCTAACTACTTATAATGGGGGTCAACTAAGTTATTAAAACTCCTGTGTGTTTATACCAACCTTACAGGCTATATTACTGGATAACACGTTTGGTTCCAAACAATTCCTTTGAGATAACAATACTCTTTTAATACGTCTTTGAAGTTTTGCTATTTTTGCCTAGAAGAAAAAGAGAAAAACAAATACATACGAAACCAGGGTACTAAATATCATATAGAGATGGAGGGAAAACTATTCGCAAAGTAGTTTTGTGAGACTTAGGCATCCGTCCAAATAAATAAGAAATTCTTAAATAAGCCAAAGATATAAATCACATTTGATGCTAGTATGACATTCAAGAATGGACAATAACAACATCAAACTTTCAATTGGTCCACAATAAAACTGTTGGTAGAAACACCAACCAGTAAGTAACCCTAGAAAAGAAAAAAACCCCAAAAAGCTTGAGACAGGTTGTACAAGCTCTAATACAGAATATATTTTGAATTAAAAGAAACTTCCTATGTACTAAGTTTGTCAATTGACACAGAATGGCTGATATTTCTAAAAGTATTTCTCAAAGGCCAATATTGCTGAGATGTAATGAATTTTATTACCTATTATATAGTATATCAGGCTTGTGGACAGGGATCAGATTTGGGTCTGCCTTTGTTTTCCTTTCCTAATATGTAAAATATCACCAAATTCTACTTTTTAAGAGGACTCAAATGAAATTAAATGAAATTAGAAACTTACGAAGAGTTCATCAGCTATTGCTTCATGTTTATTCCTGCACTGTGTCTTCCCAATGCGTTCAGTCAACTCTTTCAGTTTGTTATCAAATAGTTTGTAATTTATACTACAGATCTCCTGTCGAATCAAATGTTTGACCTAGAATTTTAAAATAAAAACCAAAACACCCCACGTTTCAAATTTAAAAGCAATTTTATTTTCTACTTCTTAAAAATAGCTTTGCTCTTTTCTGGGTTTATTGTAACTAATAAAATATACTTTACTTATATGTCTATGTTTATATTACTGTACCGGTAAGTTTTATAAAAGTTGAATATTAAATTCAGCAGAACACACCTAATATTTAATTATACAAATCTTAGAAATTAAATTTATTCTCCTAGTGCTAATTTTAGTTTCCTATAGTTTCAACTGAATTCCATAAGACATATATATAAAAGAACAATAAAAGCCTATATCCCATTTATATTTTTCAATGACCATAACTGAAACCTAGTATTCCATAAAAAGGAACTCTGCTTATCTGAAAACCAGAGCTCAATGAAAATGGTTAGTCTGTAGTAGATATGGAACAAATTATGCAAGTTTGAGCCCTGACTTGGTCAATAACAAGCTGTATGACCTTTGGGAAGTCACATCTCTGAGCTTCATTTCCCTTGTCCACAAATGGGTGATACAATGTTGAAAACTGATGCTCATAGGATTTTTATAAGAACATAAAAAGATGGGGCTGGCCCTGTGGTGTAGCGGTTAAGTGAGCGCGCTCTGCTGCTGGAGGCCCGGGTTCAGATCCTGGGCGCACACCGACACACCGCCTGTCAGGCCATGCTGTGGTGGCGTCCCACATAAAGTGGAGGAAGATCGGCATGGATGTTAGCTCAGGGTCAGTCTTCCTCAGCAAAAAGAGGAGGATTGGCATGGATGTTAGCTCAGGGCTGATCTTCCTCACACACACACAAAAAAGAACATAAAAAGATAACATGTGAAAGAGCTCCACAAAATGGAAAACACTGAATTGATATGACGGAAATAAATATGCAAGATAATCTCCTTTACTTGCATAGTTTTTTTAGGGGGTGACTTTCATATTGTTAAAATTGAAAGAAGCAAAGGACAATTATGTAGCGACTAATGGCTACCTGGCTTAATGCATGCTATTCTAACAGACTGTAGTAGCTATCACATAAAACATTAATGCATTTCATTATCTGCTGTTTTTTTGAAAATAGACTGGCCTATTTGCAGAGAGCATAATGAATCTCAGTGCCCACTAATATGAAGAGCTCTGCTGAGCCATACATTCAGAAACATCCTCCAGTTTTCTACTCAATGTGTATCCTCCTGTAAGCAACTTGTGTAACAGAGTAGGTGGTCTCTCTTAATAACGAAACCTTTCATGATACATTTAAAGTATTTATTAGTGATATTTATATCTTTCCTCTAATATCTCGCTTCTTGGTGCTCAAAATTGGAACACATAGTTTCTATGTTAAACTCTTTTATACTAATATCATCTGGATGATTAGCCATATTCAGTAATTTTATCTGATCATATTGATACTTGTAATACCAGTAATTTTATCTGATCATTCCCAAGGTTTTTCCTTCTCATTTCCAATTGTTCTTGCTCTGCAGCATTACCATCTACCTCATTTCTTCTGTAATGCTTAACTAACATTTCTTCAGTGGTTTCTCAACATTAAACATGACTGTCATTTTTACTTTCACAACTTTTAAATATTCAATTAAATTAATATGTGCTCAAAATAGATTATGTAAATATATGCTCAGAAACACATACTGTTTTTACTGACAGCCATTATCTGCCACCCATGTGCGGTTTTTAAGGATTATTGCATGTTTGCTAGTTCACTGGCTGGGGTCAATATGCGAAGCTCATAGCCAGATGAAGCCTGGAGAAAGATATCTAAGTGTTTTGAAAATGGAAATACTGTTTTACTAACAAGCAAAGGCCACACAGTGTTTGTCAAACTTCCCTGGTGAGGAAGAATCACATGAGATACTTGTTAAAATCGCAAATTCCTAGGCCCTACCATGGATTCACAAAACAGAATTTCCTGGAAAGTTGTATAATTAACAAGCACCACAAATGAGTCTTATCAGGTGAGTTTGAGAAAAGACTAGCCTAAAACAACAGTCATCAACTATTAGTGAGTTCAAGAAACCATAATTTAAACAAGTACTCCTGGTGATTCAGATAGAGGCAGACTCTTAAAGCTTGATTATTTTGGATTAAACGCCCACCAATGGGTGATTCCTCTTGGTTAGAGTCAACATTTGTTCTCACTTAGTGGTGATGTCTCTCATACAGAAGGAAGACATGGTAACTTCCACCAAATACCTCATAAATATCTTCTGCTGATGGTAACGTGTGCAAATTTATGCAACCAGATGTAAATCCTAGCTGTGATTTACAGATGGCAGCCAAAGTGGCCTACAGATTGGAAAAAGATGGGCAATTACATATCCCCAATTTGCCTCAACTTTCTAAGACGATGGGTAAGTGAATAACTTGGACTTTGGAAGAAAAGCCCCTCTACTTGAGTAACTTAGTTGGAATCAGCTAGGCCAAAATCCTTATGAAACCTCAAAAGATAAGATCAACAGCTCTGGGACTCTCTCAGTAGGAAAGAACAACTTCAGAATGGGAAGCCCCATTCCACTGGGATTCAAACAAGAAAAACAAACGGAGAGAGTTAACTAACTGAACAAGAACTAAAACATCAAGTGAGGGAAAGCTAGCTATTTAGAGATAGGTAAAAAGATAAGAATTAGGTAAAACCCAAGTTGTCTCTGGAGAATGTGCAAGACACTTCCAGTGGTGGGGAGGAATAACAAAATAAACTGCATTCCGTAAACCTCCTATTTAAAGGCTCCTATTAAAGGACCACTTTCTGTGTTAACTTGGACCAAGTATTTTGTGAGGTAGATAAACGTAGTAAATGAAAACCCTGATTTTTCCATGCCAGTGAAATCAAAATGTTCAAAGATTAAATTTTGTCTTTATATGTCTATATCAGAACTTATTTCTGAACTCAGCTACTAATTATTGGGAATAAGACACAGGTGGAATCTCCAACTTTTTTCTTAAGCTACATCCATGCTTACCATAATTCTGCTACCCCTTCCCTGCAAACAACAGAACATTTACATAATTTTTATTAGTGTCTCCTTTGGTCTTCCTGGAAGGAAACGAGATAGAAAGGGGAAAACTGTTGACTCACCTTTTAAGCTGGTTCTGCATGAGTCTTTCAAAAAGGTTTCCATTTATTATGTGAGTACACATTCATGTAATATGTAACTATATAATTGTAACGGTCTGTTTTAGAAAACAGTAGTGTTTTTGTTTCTGAAATAGCATGATAGCTTGGATTGGGACATTTTGGTCCATTACAGCTGACAGACATTAATCTATCACATAATGACTTTTGGTTGTGGCATTCTAGTGATAATAAAATAACAAAATATGATCATCAAAATAGGTCCTGATTACAGGACCTACTAAAATTGAAGCTCATTACACAAACTCAGAGTTGATCAAACATGTATGGAAACTCTAGTACAAGGAGATGAAAATAGGGCAAAAATGAAAGCAAAACATGCATTTAAGATGCTATAAAGCAAAATATCAGAAAATGCAGCATATCTGTGTAAATCTTTGTGTGTGTGAGGAAGAGCAGCTCTGAGCTAACAGCTGTTACCAATCCTCCTCTTTTTGCTGAGGAAGATTAGCCCTAGGCTAACATCCATGCCCATCTTCCTCTACTTTATATGTGGGACGCCACCACAGCATGGCTTGATAAACGGTGCATAGGTCCGCACCCAGGATCCAAACCTGCGAACCCCGGGGTGCCGAAGCAGAGCGTGCGAAATTGACTACTACACCACCAGGCTGGCCCCATTGGAAATTAGGGCAAGTAAACCTGAATGCAGCAGGACTTTGCAATAGACTTCTGGGTTGTCTGAGTCTATGATGTAGTGGTCAATTGTGATGAGGTCTACAAACAGCTATAGCTGCAGATCAAAGAACCCCATGACCAGTTCAAGAGACCGGATTGCTCTGCAAAGCTCAAGGTCATGCAGTGTCTGACTCACTAAGAGATTTGAGCATAATATCAACTGAAAAGCCCATTCTCTTTCTACCACAGCACTCTACCGACACATGATTCTCTAGGTTACTCTGCATAGGATCATTTTCAAGAAACTAGAGATGTTTTGGTAATGTAAATAATTACCTTTCCCTAATATGCCCATCTGCTAATTCAGTTTTCATATACCAGCTTTGCATCAAGTCAAAGTTATCTGTACTAAGTCATTGTGGAGATCAATTAACTTTTACCATTTTTTATTTATCAAAAGTAAGTTTCTGAAGCGAATGTTTAAGCCCCAATATTTTACCTGTTCCAGCAATGCTGTTTGCTTTTCCAGAGCTACACAAATATTTTCATTAATTTGCTCTGACGTTTTCATGCGCTTAACATTTTCTTTGTTTTCTGAAAACATCCTCTTCTTTTCATTATGGCCTTGGGGAGACGAAAAGATCAGACATAAAAATATTCCTTCTAATGAAGGAAACAGGGGAATTCTCTAATATAGGGACCCTCTAAGCCAATGGAAAACCTAAAATGTGACAATGGCAGCATTTTTTAGAAAATGTAGTTTAAAAAAATCCCAACAACTAAACCTTAAAAAACAATGTATATTGTATATTTTAGGTAGGATTCTGGTCTCAGAATCACTTTCCCTTCCATCTTATTTAATACACATTTAATACCTATTTCATAGCAACAAAAACTGAATAAATAATAGCATTTAATCCTCTATTTACAGTTAGTTAAGTAGTCTTACATCATTTTTATAAACAGTTACTTAGGCAGTCCTCCACATTTTTAATAGGTGATCCTATTATTATTTTTAAGCAATCTTTTTTTTTTTTGTGAGGAAGATTGGCCCTGAGCTAACATCTGTGCCCATCTTCCTCTATTTTGTATGTGGGATGCCACCACAGCGTGGCTTAATGAGCAGTGTGTAGGTCCACGCTCGGGATCCAAACCCGCGAACCCTGGGCCGCCAAAGAGGAGCACGCGAACTTAACCACTATGCCACCAGGCCGGCCCCCTATTTTTAAGCAATTTTAAATTCATCTTGTTAAATGATCACTCTGTAGCCTAGACAAGAACACAAATAAAATTTATCCTATGAAATCAGTTTTTTCTTACATTTCATTAACTGATACCCACTTTTAATAAAATTCACTTTTGCTATTTTAAAGATCTTATAACCCCAGAATTTCATTGGTTAATTATTTGATGTGTTTCTTTTTCACTCTACACACACATGTATGTATGTATATGTATATATATTCTTATTATCTATCAGCTTATACTCGTCATGTGACTTATGGGTCAATTCTTTGGAAAGAAATGGGTTCACCAACAATTAAAAAAACCCACTTTCAACTAGCCTCCTTATTAATCTAATAAACAAAACTCCAAAATAAGAAGAAATATAGATGAAATAAACCAAATAATTGCCATAAACCACCTTTTGATTTTTTTGTACTCTCAGGGGAAAGTGATTGATCCCTTCTTTGCCAGAATTTACTTCCCTTTGCAAATGGTGATTCTGTTCCCCCTCCCCACCAAGAATGGTTCAGAAACAAGATACTCTGAAATAATTATTGTCATCACTTACTTTTCTCCTGTCTATATGTACTCTACTGTTTCTATATCTGAGACTATAAAATCCTCCAAAGGAAAGTGACTATTTTAATTTCTCCAAAAGATGCGTATACACTTACTGTTATCACAATCAGTATCAAGTGAGGACAAGCACGTTAAGCCTGTACTTTCACAATCAATGCTGGAATGACAGGTTCCACAGGATTCTTCACTTTTCAAAATGTCAGCAGCACAGTTACTGGAAATGACTGAATTCACCACTTTAGGTATTTTATCAAGAGGCACAGTACAGGTGTCTGAAGTTAAAATGTCATTTTGCCTTTTATCATTTGACTCAAAATTGGAGTTCGTTTCTAAATAGGAAATGATCTTGTTGATTCTCTTATCATCCAAGGTATTGATCACTGTAAACTTTGATGTTTGAACTATACCACTCAATACACCGGATGGATGGCAAATGGATGTCAGATTACAATTCTCTTCATGTTGTTCAAAAAAGGATCTTGTTATATTTGCCTGACATTCAAGATGGTTTTCACAAGCATTTTGTGAATCTTTTACCTCCTGTGTAAAGAGTTTCCTGGAAGACTCTATTGTTGTACTTGGCTTTTGGTAAGGGCACACAACTTGTTCTTCAATGTAGTCCAACCTTGTTTCCGAATCCACAATTTCTAGTGGTTTTATTAAATTCTGAGAAAATATTTTACTTTTCTGTGAGCATACTGAATTTTTGTTAGCATCCAATGAGGAAGCATCATTTTCAGAATGTTTACATTTGCTACTTATGACACCAGTACTTGAATTCTGATTACCATTTAACACATTATTCCCAATTGCAGCTGTTTTTAGTGCTTCAACATTCTTTGACTTATTCAGGATCTCTATCTGCTTGCGGCAACTTGCAGGCATTGTTTTTTTGGCTTTTAGTATCTTCCGTTTACTTCTATCTGGACTTGCCATCTTTCATATCCTAGAATTTAAGATACCATATTTAAATGCATTTCTCCAGCAGACAAAAGCTAACTTATTTCCAATATTAAAATAATCTTGAGACTATCTTTCCAGATTTAGATATTTTTTTTTGAAAATTACATCCATTTTCATCTGTCACTGAAAATGTACAAATAATTTTATTTCTTTTCTATAAACTTAAACTATATGAATTCAAAATTTATATTGCCAGTGAGCCTCTACTTGATACTAAGCCTGATAATCTATCTGGCCACTTTTTGTTATATCACCTCACTGCTATAACCATTAACTTCTGGTTTAAATCATCCAAACAAGCTATACTTTAGATAATCTAAAAATTAAATTTCATTTCTTCATAAAAACAAAAAACAATGTTTTGTATAGAACATTCTATTTTCTACACATAGTGGTAGCTTTCTAAAGCTTTCCTAGTGTTCAAATTTCCAAAATAAATGGTACTGCAGGAGTAATTCCCAATAGTCATGAGTATAAAATGAGCACTAAGAAACACATAATGCCAGTTCAAGTGAGAAAGCCAATTTAGGCATTATAATACTTAACACTTAATTATTTCTCATAATTTAAGAAGAATCTATAGGATTGCAAAGAAAAATATTTCAGTATTCATCCCTCAGTATCCACATCAGGTTTGATCTGAACTGTAGGTAGGTAAATGGTTTAAAAGAAAAGAATACTGATGGATTACAAGGCAAAGGCATAATATGAGCAAAAAAAAGAATTATAGTGACATGATAGACCAGTTACCTAATAAACTATAGAGCACTTATTAAACTCAAGGTCAGACAGAAAGTAGGATCTTTTAAGGCACAAATAACCCAGTCAAAGCTACCTGAATAATTTTTTCATTTATCATTATCTATTTCCTTACTTGAAGCTTTCGTTTACTATATTCTTTTGATTCAATATATCATTTGCAGGAACAGTTCCAGAATTTGTGAGACCTGAAGGTTGAGTTGAATATTTATTTAGAACAAGAAATCAACTTCAAATTTTAAAAATCTGTCATTTATATATAAACATCACAAAATCCAGAAAAATGGCATACTTTCATTAAGGGCTCCCATACAATACAGAATTCTACTTTTCCTATATGACTGCATATTTTGACTGCCTCTTCATGAGTAAAATTTTTGTAATATTTCCCATAGAGAGAATGGACAAACCAAGTCTTTCCTCTACCATGGTTCATTAATTTTTTAAAATTGATAATCAGGATGCATAAAACAATCAGCTTCACCTAAAGACACACTTCTTGGTACTGTTACAGCTTTGTGCCCTATAAACATAAAAATTCTTATTTTATTCCAAAGGCAGAATTCCTATCAAAAAAAATGTAGGGTGAATTTCTAATTGAATGTGCTATTGAGTATTTCTAACAAGAGAAAAATTCTCTTTTGACTGAAATCATGAGAACTAAATCCTCTAACAATTTTTAACACAGATAATCGGAAAATTTTTTCCTGACTACCTTCCGGCTTCATAAATTTTAATCCTTGGCCTTTTCACTACTCACACATTTCAGGTGCCAGGCACTGCAAACCACATTCCCATCACAATCAGGCTGATAGGCAATAATTGCTACACTCAAAAGTGACTGTGAACCACAAATGTATCCTATTAAACCTACACTAAGTATATCTCCAATCACAAAATGCCTGAAGCCATTCTACCACCAGGTGACACAAAGGTAAGGAGAAATCAACATGAAGAGAGACAGCAGTCTTAAATGATTACAGTTAAAATATCTTACTTTTGTGAATCTTAGAAAAACATCCAACCATGTGAGCACATTGCTATAGTCCTTCTCGGGGCCTTTGGAAAAGGCCTAAACTAATGAAAGGCCCTGAAAACTTTAGGGTTAATATGCCTCTACATTTGATGCATATAAAAGACATGTAATATCCATTCATCATGAGTTTAACAACATACTAAAAATACTGATTATCTTTGAACCACCCACCATTCAACCAGATACTACCGGAAACTTGCATTTACCTATGTTTCCACATACCACACCCCCTCCTCCTCTCCCCTGTCCTGAGGTAATCTGTATCCTAAATTTTGAGTTTACACTTCCATTGCCTTTTGTAAATTATAGTGTTTATTATATTGTCATATGTAAACAATATACGATTTAATTTTGCTTGTTTTTGAGCAAACTATACAGTTTTCTAATACTTGTTTTTTCACTCATATTCTCAAAATTCATCCATGTGGTTGTGTATAGTAATAGTTCATACATTTTCATGGCATTATGTTCATAATCCATGGCATATTCATAATCCATTGGGTCAATATAACAAAACTTGATTATGCAGTTATCTATGAAGTATATTTGAGTCATTTCCAATTTTCTTTTTCTTTTTCTTACTAACGTTGCTGCTGTAAATATTTTTGTTTCAAGGTCCCTATCTGTAAACATTTCTTGAGTGGGTTTGTGGGGTAGCAATAAGGTACACAAATGTTCAACTTTTCAGGATAGCCAAATTATTTTCCAAAGCAGTTGTACCAATTTATATCCCTATGGGCAATGTGAATGAGTTACTGCTAGCCACATCTTCTTGAGCCCTTGGTATTGCCAGACTTAATTTTTACCAATCTACCTGGATATAGATGTATATCTCACTATCTTAATTAGCATTTCCTTAATTACTAGCATCTTTTCATGTTTACTGGCTATACATGTTTCCTTGTCTGCAAAATTCCTGATTATATCTTGCTCATTTTTTCTATTGTGTTGTCTTTTCTCATTTCTTAAGAGAAAAATGTATTATGAAGAATAATTCTTTGTCAATCCTTTGTTATATGAGTTACTGGTATCTTCTCTCATTCTGTGCCTTGTCTTCTCCTAATTTTAATACAGACAAATTTATCCATTGTTTTACTTTTACAGCTAAAGCTTAATCTGTCTTGAGAAATCCTTCCCTAATCCCATGGTAATGTGTGAAATAGTGAGGCCTACTGGTAGTAGAGAAGCCTTCTTCTGATCTAGATTATCTGAGGACATGGAGCTGTACCATGGTTGGGCAATGATAAAAATATATAATAGAAATGCAGAAATCAGAGTAAATGCTTGCTCAGAGTGAATTATTCTTAAAGTTTAAAAACAACATGAGATAATTGGTCATAACTGTGCAACTTGCTAGTTGATAAAACTAAGGGCACTGAAGAGAGGTACTTCACCTGGAAAACCTCTGCATTGGAATGCTTAGGCAAAGCAAGTAAAACTGCCAGTAAAAGGCTCAGGGAAGTTAAGTACTAGTAACTGCCTAAAAGTCTCAGGGATAGTTTATGTGTTGTAGAGAGGTTTAGTGAAATTTATTACTTGAAATATAAAAAGCAACAGCTCAGTCTAATTGGGGGATCCCCAGTACCACCAGAACTCTTGACTCTCTTCAACCAGCTTGAATCCTTTGCTGTCAAGCCACATTTCACAGAGATCTTGGAATCATGGTACTGTCCTGCAGCACAAAGTCAGAAAGATAAGTCATCTATATTTTCTCAAGTTGTAAAGATGTCTTTTATCATCTAAGTTCTTAATCCACCTAGAATTGATTTTAGCCTATAGTGAGAAGGGATCTAATTTTGTTTGTATAATTGTTTGACAGTATCTTGTTAATTTTAAACTTTAAAAATCTAATCTGAACATGATGTAATCTATGCAGAAATAGAAGTACAATGATGTACACCTGAAATTTTTACAATGTTATAAACCAATGTTACTGCAATAAACAAAAAAATTTAAAAAAAAAATCTAATCTGTCCTTTAGATTAGACTCCTGCTGATATATACTGTTGTCTATCTCATCAATTTATTTGATGTCTCTTGTAAAGTTTATTTAAAATATTTTAACCTAATGAATGTCTTTTAATAGAATTTAATCCAATTACATTTATTATAAATGACATATTAAAGCTTTAATTTACATTTGGTTTTATGCTTTCTGATTTTTACACTTTGTTGCTGTTATGTTTAACTTTTTGTTATGTTATCTCCATATTACTTTAATATGAAAATGTCCTTTTTATTTTTTAAGGACAACATATGCTTCACAATTCCATGGATTCTAGAATATTTAAAGATTTTCTAAAAGTATTCTTCAGCCAACATTTCATTAACCACTGAGGTCAAGAGTGAAACAATATTGAGTATACCTTATCTAAAGAGTTTTTTCCTTACTTTCATCTTTACCCCTTTTAGTGTCTTTTTTCACTGAATTCAGAATTTTACATTCCAGATTTTACCCTACTTTTACATTATATACACTTTCAAGAATAATTTTGGATATTTACATTCTGCTATAGAGAAAAATTTGGCTATTATGAATAATGCTGCTATGAACATTCATGTACAAGTTTTTGTGTGCACACGTTTTCATTTCTCTTGGGTATATGCCTAAGGATGGTATTGCTTAGTCATATGGTAACTCTATATTTAATCTTTTGAGGAACAGTTAAAACTGTTTTCCAAAGGGCCTGGACCAATTTACATTCACAATAGGAGTATACGAGGGATCCAATTTTAACACCTCTTCATCAACACTCATTATCTTTTTTAGTATAGCCATCTTGGTTCAAGTAATGTGGTACCTCATTGTCATTTTAATTTGCATTTCCTTGGCTAATGATGTTGAGCATCTTTTCATGTGGTTATTGGCCATTTGTACATCTTCTTGGAGAGATGTCTATTCAGATCATTTGCCCACTTTAAAACTGGGTTATTTGCCTTTTTATTACTTACTTGTAAGAGTTCTTTATATATTCTAGATTTAAGTCCCTTATCAGATATGATCTGCAAACTTTTTCTCACACTCTGTGGGTATCTTTCCAATTTCTTGATGGCATGCTTTGGAAAACTCAAATTTTTAATTTTGATAAAGTCCAATTTATTTCTTTCTTTGTTGTTTGTGCTTTTGATGTCATATCCAAGAAATCACTGCCTAATCCAAGGTCATGAAGATTTACCCCTACTTAAAAGTTTTACCTCTCTGATCCATTTTGAGTTAATTTTTATATAGTGTGAGGTAGGAGGTCCACATTTATTCTTTTGCATGTGAACATACAGTTGTTCCAGCACCATTTGAAAAGGCCCTTCTTTCCCCCATTGAATTGTTCTGGCACTCTTGTCAAAAACAGACTATAAATGTGAAGGTTTATTTCTGGATTTTCAATTTTATCCCACTGATATATAGGTCTGTCCTTATGCCAGTACCACATTGTCTTGATTACTGTAACTCTCTGGTAAGTTTTGAATTCAGGATGTGTGAGTCCTCCAACTTTGTTCTTTTTGACAATTGTTTTGGCTATTCTAAGTTCCTTGAATATCTATATGAATGTCAGAATCAGATTAACAATTTCTGCAAAAAAGCCAGCTGGGACTTTGATAGGGATTGTGTTGAATCCGTAGATCAATTTAAGGAGTATGGCTACCTTAAATCTATCAAATATTCTGATTCATGAACATGTGATGTCTTTTCATTTATTTTGGTCTTTAATTTCTTTCAGTAATGTTTTGTAGTTGTCAGAGTTTAACTTTTTCACTTCTTTTTGATGCTACTGTAAATGAAACTTTTTCTTAATTTCAATTTTGAATTGTTCATTGCAAGTATATGGAAATATAATAGAATTTTGTATATTTATCTTGTATATTCATCCTGCAACATTGTTGACTTTTATTTCTAAATAGTTTTTCTGTGGATTCCTTGGGCTCTTCTACATACAAGTATCATGTCCTCTGTCAATATAGTTTTATTCCTTCCTTTCAAATCTTTATGCCTTCTATTTCATTTTCTTACCTAATTGCCCTGACTAGAACCTCCAGTAAAATATAGAATTCAAGTGGCAAGAGTGAACATCCTTGTCACTCTTGTCTTGTTCCTGATTTAGAGGGAAAACCTTCAGTCTTCAACCACTATGTATGATGTTAGCTGTGGATTTTTCA